AGACCCCCTTGGGGACACCGAGACTCCTGGGACATCGACCCCTCCCTCTGGATCATCCCCGTGGGATTGGGAACAGCCGGAGCTTCTCCCGGAGCCGTGAACGGGACGGAGGATTTGGGGGATTTGGGGGGCTCTGGGACCCCCCCTTGGGGACACCGAGACCCCCCTGGGGACACTGAGACCCCTTTGGGGACACTGAGACCCCCTTGGGGACAAGGAAACCCCCCTGAGGACACCGAGACCCCCCTGAGGACCCCAAGAATCCCGGGATTGTCCCCATGGGATCGGGAGCCGGATGGGACCGAGGGCGTCCCTTGGATCCATCCTGAGGACTTTTTGGGACCGGGGGGGTCTCCAGATGGGACTGAGGAGCTCCCACAGGGACCTGGGGGGGTCCATATGGGATTGGGGGGACCAGGAGTGTCCATATGGGATTTTGGGGTGTCCCTGTAAGTCTGGGATGCTCCATATGGGACCACAAGCTCTGTAGGGGACCAGGACCCTCCATATGGGATTGGGGGGATCAGGACCCTCCATATGGGACTGGGGGTGTCCCTGTGGGGCCAGGACCCTCCCTATGGGACCACAAGCTCTGTAGGGGACCAGGAGTGTCCATATGGGATCGGGGGGACCAGGACCCTTCATATGGGATTGGGGGTGTCCCTGTGGGTCTGGGACCCTCCCTATGGGACCACAAGCTCTATAGGGGACCAGGAGTGTCTATATGGGATCGGGGGGACCACAAGTGTCCATATGGGATCAGGGGTGTCCCTGTGGGTCCGGGACCCTCCCTTTGGGACCACAAACTCTATAGGGGACCAGGAGTGTCCATATGGGATTGGGGGGACCAGGAGTGTCCATATGGGATTGGGGGTGTCCATACAGAGCTGGGACCACCCCCTTTGGGGCCAGGACCCCCCATATGGGACCAAGACACTCCATATAGGATCAAGACCCTCCATATGGGAGCAGGAGCTTCCATAGGGGACCGAGAGGATCCAGACAGAGCCGGGACCATCCCTGTGGGGCCAGGAGGCTCCATATAGGGCTGGGACCATCCCTGTGGGGCCAGGAGGCTCCATATAGGGCCGAGGGAGCCCTGTGGGGCCCAGGACTGTCCCTGTGGGGCCAAGGGATCCTTGTAGGGCCTGGGACTGTCCCTGTGGGGCCAAAGGGTTTCTATAGGGCCCAGAATCCCCCCTGTGGGGCCAAGGGATCCTTGTAGGGCCCAGGACCATCCCTGTAGGGCCAAGGGGTCCCTATAGGGCCCAGAACTCCTCCTATGGGGCCAAGGGGTCTCTATGGGGCCAAATGGTCCCTGTAGGGCCCAGGAATGTCCCTGTGGGGCCAAGGGGTCTCTATGGGGCCAAATGGTCCCTGTAGGGCCCAGGACTGTCCCTGTGGGGCCAAGGGGTCCCTATGGGGCCCAGAACCCACCCTATGGGGCCAAGGGGATTTACAGGGCCCAGGACCCTCCCTATGGGACCAAATGGTCCCTATAGGGCCCAGGACCCTCCCTATGGGGCCGAGGGGATTTACAGGGCCCAGGACCCTCCCTATGGGGCCAAACGGTCCCTATAGGGCCCAGAACCCACCCTATGGGGCCAAATGGTCCCTATAGGGCCCAGAACCCCCCTTATGGGACCAAATGGTCCCTATAGGGCCCAAGACCCTCCCTATGTGGCCGAGGGGTCCCAAACCCCCCCCTATGGGGCCGAGGGGCTCCCTATAGGTCCCAGCCCCATCCCTATAGATCCCAAAGCCCCCCCACCCCCTCTGGAAGCAGCTGGAATTTTTTGGGAGAGGGGGGGCAGAACCACAAAGGCAATAAGGGGGGGTTTGGGGTCCACCCCTTTCCCCCCCCACCTTCCCCTACAACCCCTCCCCTTCATTACCAGGGGTCTAAACCTCTTAATAATTAATAATAATAATGAATGCCGAATAATTAATTAATAATAATAATAAGGATCTTCCAGGCGTGGGAAAAGTTAAAAAAACAACAAAAAAAAGGCACTTTTTACCCCCCCCCCCCAAAAAAACCCCACAAAAAATTTTTTTAAACACCGGCGCCGGAAGGGGGGGAAAAAAACCC